CAGTGGGTTGCAGATGGCAACATAGCGGTCATAGGCCATCAAGGTCAGAAGGAAGAATTCTGATCCCCCAAACAGTAAAAGGAAGTAGGTTTCGGCCAAACATTCAGAAAAAGAAATCCTTGCTGTTTTCATCAGAGAGTCAGCCATAGCTTTCAGAATGGTGGCTGATATGAAACCAAGATCAACAACAGCCAAATTAACCAGAAAGAAATACATTGGAGTTTGAAGCTGGTGGTTGAGGGCAACCACAATTATTATAAGAAGATTCCCAACCACAGCTACCATATACATGAACAAAAAACTCATGAAGTATACAATTTTCAGTTCCCAAATTTCAGAGAATCCTAGGAGTTGGAACTCAGTTACCAAGCTTTGGTTGGCCATATCTCTTTTGACAATTTTGTGTTGCCTATTAACAGAAAGGAAACGAGGAAAACTGTAACTGAAACAGTTCATTTATCACATATATGTTGTGATATATGGAGGTTGAAAGTTAGAAGGGGAAATAACTGAGGAGTAAAGGAAACAATTCTGGCTGTAGGCAGGACTTACTATTTTATGGATGTGTTCCCAAACCTGTAGAACCTTCCCAAGTCTCTTGCTTTCTTTCAGTGTTTATTAACAAACTGAGCTTTCAACAAAGTGTTGCAGTGTGAAGGGCTCTTGTTTCAGATATCCCATTTTCTTTCTCTTTCTTCTTTTCACTGTTTTATCACTTTATTTCTGAAACGTACACAAATTTGACTAGACGTAACATCCACCAACCAAATTATCATGATCACATCAGCTGCAATATCCAAATTTGCCATATTTTGCTAGTGTTGTCTTCTATGGATTTCAGGCAACAATGAACTAGCGGAGTGCTTGTGTAAGAAGGGACTTTATCTGTGCATCTGCTGTAAGGGTGTCCAGAGACCTTGTTCCCTGTGCTCAGTCCAGTTTAATTACTTATGAAGTCTCATGGGACTGATACTTGTACACTCACAAGCTAAAGTAGGGATGCACATCTCACAAATAAAGGAGTTTGTCCCCACAAAGGTATATCAACCAAGGACAAAGAGAGAGTTCTGTAACCAGAACTTTTGAAAAGTCCAAACCTTATCCCTAATCCTCTAGCTTGTTCCTGTTTCACTGAACATAAATCTGCAGTAAAGTAACCAATTCAGAACATCTGACAAAGAGACATGATCTCCTTGACTTGTAAATTCTACAGATTTGATTGACTCACTTTTATAATATTCCATCTTTACTAGTAAAGGTCACAGAAAATGCATGCTCACTTGAATATAATTGCATCATAAATTCTTATCTGTGCACAGTCATTAAAAAATGTAATACCCAGATTGATGCAAAATGGTGTTGTTTGTTTCTCCCATTGTTGGGCTTGCCTTGTTCAGGATAGATGGAGGCAACCGCTAAAGGGTCCACAGGTCAACAGCAAATCATGTGGAGTGGCCTTTACAAAGTGCCACAGCATCACATTCATCTCATTAAATCATTGTGCACTGTTCCCATGTCAAAAATAGATAATAGAAAATATGTGTACATGAATAACAACAATAAAGCATACACCTAAAGCTGCCTTACTCCTAATCATATGTCCAGTTCTCTAGGAAAGCATCTTCTGTGTGGTAGCATAAAATTGCCTTTGGTCCAGTGTTGAATTTAGGAGCACAATTGCCAATAAACTCACTGCATTTAGAAATTAATGATGAATCAGGGGTATGTATACCAAACTGGTAATGGGGAAATGTACACATAAATGTACACAGATTTGCATGCAAATAGTAACAACGGGTGAGCAAAGTTCTCAGTCTGCTAGGAACTTGACCTGGAATAAGCTTTGAGGCTTGACAAAACTTGAGTTTTTCCAATCTGCAGATCCGTAAGCACTTTTCAAAATACCACATTCTTTTTCTCACTTCCTTGACATTTCTTCAAGTGAATCCTTGGGCTTTGTCCAGATAAAGAAATGGCAGTCCTTACATCTTGAATGGAATACTGCCTCCTGGGATTTTCTGATCTCTCCCCCCCGCCCCACTCCCCACCTTCCCTCACTCCCACCACCTGACACAGATTTATGTGGCGCCTGTACTCATCATAAGCATAATGGAAAAAATCAACTGTTTCATATTCCACTTGCATTTCTTCCAACTTAGCACTTTGTACTTGTCTGCTACATTTCAAAAGCTTTTCCAAAATCTACAGCCAGTTCTGTGATGGTCAATGAATTAATTTTATTTGCTGGGAGATTTGCCTACATTTTCTTGGGAAAACATTCTGGTGCTGAGCTTGGTTCTTCCTCAGTGCCACTGCTTATGACTGCTAAGTTCAAATTTGCAATTCCTTAAAGTACAAACTGTTCATGAACTTGGATCTTTGCCTTCCAAAGAGTAACAATTCATTGTTTACCATCATTCACTATCAGTGAATAAATACAATACACAAGGTGCTAAGCAAGAATAGAGTGGGGAACTGGACTTCCCCAGATCTATGGATCTCAAGTTATGTTTTCTGCAGCAAAAACTCTTGTTCCATGCCTAATAGATACTTCACCGTCTCTTTAGAAAGGGATGTAGGTAGTGCAGTGGTTTAGACTGCTGTGCTGCTGGGTGGTTGATTAAAAGGTCGCTGGTTCAAATCTGCACAATGTGGTGAGTTCCTGTTGCTCCGTTCTAGCTCCTATCAACCTTGCAGTTCGAAAGCATGCAAATGCAAGTAGATAAAAAGGTACCACTCTGGTGGGAAGGTAACAGCATTCCGTGCACTTCGGTGTTTAGTCATGCTGACCACATGACCACAGAAATTGTCTACAGACAAACACTGGCTCCCTTGGCTAGGAAACGGAGATGAGCACCGCCCCCTAGAGTCAGACATGACTGGACTTAACGTCAAGGGGAAACCTTTACCTTACCTTTTATTCTAAGTAGGCCAATTGGCATGTTCATAATTAAATTGTACCCAAATAAGTAACTGGCTACCAACTGAAGTCCAGGCCTGATTCAAGGTATTAACAATATCATATAAAGTCCTTAACAGTTTGGGGACTAGTGCCTAACGGAACATCTCCTTCCATATGAGCCTGCAAGGACCCTAAAATCATCTGCAGAGGTCCTCCTCCTTGAGCTCTCCTTTTTTACAACATCTCATAGTTTTGAGAAGTAAGCTGGCTCTGATCTTCATTGAGGAAGGCCCCCATGGTGAAATCATGGAAGAACTAGCCTCTCCATGCAGAGATTGGCATTTCTTCTCCACCATAGCAAGGCTATCACCAATGTTTTGATGAATGTGAGTTTCTTAGAACTTGTGTGCAGATCTCTAGGTTGAGTTTGGGAAGTCAGAGGTCAACTGAGCAGTACGTACAGTGGTGCTGTGGGGGAAGCCAAAGTGTTTAGCCCCATGCTTCGTACGCATGCTTGTGTAGCATCTTCAGGTATGTTGCCTAAAGAAGGCTAAAGTTAACTAAAGAAATCAAAGTGATAACCTGCACCAAAAAAAGGCAATCCCACATGTGCATGAAGCAAAAATGCCACTGATTTTGCCAATGAGCCATGCTTATTGTGAATGCTTTAATTTGTTGGAGGTTTAACGAGAAATGCTGTGATACATTTTAATTCTCTCTGTGGGTTTCCTCTATGAGGACTGATGTACAAATTCCCTCAAGGGAAAGAGATACCTCAAATAGGCAACCATACTTCTTATTACTAGGAGTGGCTCATCAAAACACAGAGGAACATTTGATTTCTGTTAAAACATTGTTCTCCAAAGTCTGACAAATTAAGGTTGGTTGTTATTTTTAAAAATAATTCAAAATAGTGCTGAGGCAAAGTTTTTTTTAATGATAAGTAAATAAACCTGAAAGATTATTAAAGGAATATCCAGTCCAATTCTCTCCACATATCTTCACCATTTATCTCTACCTAAATCTTGATCATCCATCTCTATGTGGAAATGAATTTAGTTGGACTTACTAATCAGAGAACAATTTCTTGCCTGTTTACTCTGACATCTGTTTCCTTCTGTTCATGGGACTTGCTTTGGAAAAAAAACCCCACACACTTACACTTTGAACTCATCACAATGCTGTACTTCAGCAGGCAGGTCTATGATTGCAATGTAAGAATGCCTAAAATGCATGCATCTCTGGATTTTCTTGCAGGTGGGTACTTCAAGGATTGTTAAATGCTGAGTGGAAAAAGTAAACCCAAGAAAGTAGGGCTAAACTTGACCAAAAGTCTGTTTGCTATAGTAAACTACCTTTAGAGGGGAAATCTGTTTAATATTAATAACTGTAAAGGGCAATTAATAATAATAATAATAATATTTTAATTTGATTATGTTATACAGATCTTGATTTCCAATATACTGCATGCTAAGTAATGTTTATGTTGCAGTCTTACTGTAGTATAATGGTCTCATGGAAGTACATCTGTTTCCAAAATTCCAATTTTTGGCTAACTCTCACCTGTCTTAGAAACCTACAAACTTGGGGAATTCTGCTCCTTGCTCTGCAATGGACTGTGCAAAGGAGAACAGTCAATTTGCAGGGCAGAGTCTGTCTGTGACCTTTTAAATGGCAAGGTTGTACAATAACATCCAATTCAATCCCCAAACAGAAAGGACTTCTTTTAATATTTTATGGGGGGTGGGCTTCCTTCCACAAGTGGTACTTGGACATAATGTCATACCCACATCAGAAAAAGTACAGCTTAGCTATTGCAGTCCCTGAATAGGGTGGATACCTTCCAAGATGATCAAGAATTCCCAGGGACGCATGGCATGAGCCATCCATCAATGTCACCTCCCGCTGACTGGCCTAAGGAAAGTGATCATTGAAATGAAATTGGATGGCTTTCCCACACCTGTTCTAGTAGGAATAAGCCTCTGCAATGTGACTTAAAATTTCTACCCAGGGCATGATGCTGTATCTACTTTGTTATGTTTGCTATGTTTCATATGATTGTCTGTTTAAATGAAAAATATTTACTCCAACTACAGAAATGGGAAACCAGTCCACACTGGAAGGATCTACAGTGACAGAATTCCTTTTGCTGGGATTTTCTGAGGTCCGAGAGCAGCAGATCTTACATTTTGTGGTGTTCCTTTCCATTTACTTAGCCACTCTGATGGGGAACTTTCTCATTATCCTAACTGTGGCCTCTGATCCTCAGCTCCACAGTCCCATGTATTTCTTCCTGGTCAATTTGTCACTGTCCGATATGTGCTACATCTCCACCACTGTCCCCAAATCCATGGCTGCTTCATTGACAAATAACAGATGGATTTCCTTCTCTGAATGTGTTCCCCAAGTTTTCTTCATTGTCACCCTTGCAGGTGCTGAGCTCTCTTTTCTCACTGTAATGGCCTATGACCGCTATGTGGCAATCTGTCATCCTTTGCAATATCAGCTGATCATGAACTGGAACACCTGCTTTCAAATGGCAGCTGCTTCCTGGATTGGCAGCGTTATCAATGCAACGGTGCACACTGTGAGCACATTCAGGCTGGAATTTTGCAGCTCAAATATTAAACAGTTTTTTTGTGACATTCCACAATTATGGTTGATTTCGTGCACAGATACAGTGGTCAACCAATGGCTTGTTTTGGCAGAAATCTTTAGCATTATTTTATTTTGTCTTCTGTTTATATTAGTTTCATATGGGTTCATCTTTTCGGCTGTAATGAAGATGCAGTCAGCTCAAGGAAGGTGTAAAGTCTTCTCCACCTGTGCTCCACATTTGACTGTCTTGTCCTTGTTTCTGTCAACTAGTGCATTTTCCTACCTCAGACCAAAAGCCTTGTCCTCTCCCACTGTTGATATGTTGGCTGCAATCCTGTATACAATCATGCCACCACTACTGAATCCCCTCATTTATAGCCTGAGAAACAAGGACATCCACAGAGGCATGTCAAAGATATGCAAGAAGCTCTTTGGATTTCGCAACATGGTTTCTTGCATTTCCCCTAAAATCTCCCTTTCCCAAGAATATTAAAGTTTCATTGAAAAGAAGTCAGCTTATACATATGAAGAAAGTCTGAAGTGCACCATCACAAAGCAGTACATTTTCTTTTCCCTGTATTTGTGCTGCATGTGGAAACTGGGTCTGAAGAAGCAATCATTACAATGCCTTCCTGCACTTTTGGGTTGTACTCTTGTGCCTTATACAAAGGAGAACCACATTCTGAGGCTGTGGTCTGATCCCCTTTTTGTCAAAGGGAAGAATACTATCATTGCAAGTTACAACAAAGGAATGTTCCCTGTGCATTCCGAGAATAGACCTACCATGGCATTATTCCATCTGGTAGATGAAGGAGACATATTGAAAGGGTCGGAATCTGACCAAGCTGCTCTCAACACGTCTCCAGATGTTCCAGTCACCCTGCTGTCTATCTACTGAGGACTTGTATGCTGTAGGTACATTACTGAATATTCCAAATGTATGGTTATGAAGTATAGATGTCTTGTCTTGTCTCATCTTATTTCATTTCATGTTGTCTTTGCAAATCATACAATCATGTACTGATTACAACCAGAATGTGAGCTAGAGGGATATTTTCAAGAAATAAGCAGACATTGTTGAATATGTAATCTAAGAAGAAATCTGCATTTTTAATGAATGCTTTTTTCCACTATAAAAAATCAATTCACATTCAAATGCTTTAATCAAGTAGAGCAAACACTCACAGAAATGCCCACTTTCAAAGCATGTATTTATCACATGCATGCAAGGAAAAATATAAGGGGAGCAGACTGTAATGGAAAGTCAACATCTGAAGGCTCTTAAAACTTGCAACCAGGAAATTTGAAAATATTTCGACAGAGCCGGTGTCGGGTAATGGAAGACAGCATTCTTCCCCTCCCGACTACTTTGCGCAGGGACACTGTCATTGTGGCTTCACCAGACTGAGAAGCTCCTTACCATCCCCATCTTGCTCCCACACAGACAAACATGCACACAGTGCTCCCAAGACCAGGATCAAAATTTCCCCACTGCACCTTCCATCACTGCCTGAGCACCAACTGAGTGTCTAGCCCACTTTGCACCTCTTCCCTCCACACAACGCATTGGAGAAATTGTTTTTGCCCTGCTCTCTTCTTGGCTCCCATCTCTGCTTCCCTTCAGGGTCCCCACGCCATTTTCCAGGAGTCTGAGCAGCACCTTGTTGTTCTGACTTCTCATTCATCTCTTCCCTGCACCAGTGCAGCCCAACTAGTGGTTTATCCTCTGGTTTACCGCCACCTGAAAATGGAAGCTCAGGTCTTTCCCAATGACTTCTGTCTCTCAATCAGCAGAACCACTTTTTGAGTGAACAATAAGTATTCCAACCTCCCTGCCCACCTTTAGTGGTTCCACCAGTAAGTGCTCAACTACCTTGGCTCCACACACTCAACCCTCTCTTTACTCCAGGTCTTCTACACATTCAATCCAGGGAGTAGGCAATTTCTTCAACCCTTAAGAAAAGTAAGTATATACATCCTTAAAGTAAAACTTATATTAGTAGCATTTCAAGAAGATAGAACTGGCATCATGACAACAGTCCAGGCTGCTATGCTTAAAATTTTCAGTGCTGTACTTATGGGATCCTGAATTGCACTGGCTATAGACTTAGTTCAGGCAACATGTGCTAAGAAAATGCATGCTACTCTTGGCTCTTGGGCAAATGTCTCATCTTACCAATTACCGATACAGGTACAGGATTATACATGAAAAGATAGTAATCTGGTGCACCATACTAAACCAGTATTTTCTATTGCCATGCTCTTGCCCATTCCCCTGAGTGGCCACAATATGGAGGAACTCCACCTCACAAAGCCTTCCATGCCCTGTATGATGGCATATATCTGGGCTTATACGAGTATTCATGATCTAAACAAGCATTATTTGGGCCAATTTTCAACAGTACAGTATGAAGGGCATCTCAGGATGCAGGTAGCTACCTTCAAGAGTGGGCATCATTCCAGTGCTGAACTTCCAAAGTCAGCATCCAAATTGCCTATGCATATGACAGTGCATATCAGCCCATAACACAGCAGTCTGCTGTTAATCACTCCACTGAAGCCACTGTGAGTTCAAAGATCAAGTCCCTTTCCAAGCAGGCTGACATTTGCTTCTGCACAGCCTGCTGTTGAGTTCATGGGCAACATGGCGGAGGGCTCCAGTGTATCCTGGTTCCCACCATTCCCCTCTGCCAGCAACCTGGAAGTGAAGAAGTGCAAAAGAGCCACCAGAGATGAGGATACAATCCCACTTGATGGTGTGGCTTGAATTCAGCCCTCTGCATCTTCCTGCAGTCTGGAGTGCAGGAGAGCCACCAAAGCATCAGGATATCGTTTCATTGGGCGGTGCGGGTGAACTAATTTTTGTGATTGCAGTGGGTGGCAGGATCTAATGTAAGGATGCCCTTTGCCGCAGAAAAACCCCTTATCTGTGTTGCCATTGCTTGTTCCCCAGGCCTCCCAAAATTCAGAACAGAAGTAGCCTTCTCGAAAGATGGTTCTGCTGGAGGCACCAGAGATATGTGGCAGAGCCAGAACAGTGCTAAGGAGGCAGTTTGGAGAGAGCAAAGGACACATCTCAGCTACCAGTGGGAAGAAATGAGGACATTTCTACTAAGGGAGGAGGTGCCTAAAGCATTTCAGAAGCACCTTAGCAGAGCAGAAGCAACGGCACAGATCTACGGAAGATCACATCAGGAATGGTTTATTGGGAGGGCCAGTCACTCACCATGAGTGAGGAATCTGTTTTCAGCTGAGTCACCACAGCCAGAACATCAAGGTATCTGGCCAGCAGGCAGACAGTTAGATCTGTCAAAGCCTGCTGTAGAGTTTATGACCAACATGGCAGAGGACTGTTCTGCAGCCTGGTTCTTGCCCTTCTCCTCCACCAGCACCCTGTTGTCCTGAGTTTCTGAAACAGGTTGTGACTATGCAAGAAATGATACAATATGGATTACCATGCTATGCTAACAACTATGTTTCCACTTCCTTTTTGCAGAAGCGCAAACAATCCCCCAGAGAGCCGTGTATCATTTCATTTGCTGCCGCATCACAAAAGAATAGTTACGGTTACAGTGGTCAGTAAGGATGCTCTTTTTAGTAGAGAGGGGGACAGTTTCTCACTCTGTAAAGTTGCAGTGCAGGGAGGCCTAGCAGCCTTATATGCGGATTGTTCTTCTGCTGATACAGGAAGATTTGAAGATGCAAATGGAAAATGCAAATTGAGCAATGATACGCCATGGGCACAAGAAAGCAAAATTAACTGAATAAGACGGTAATGCTCTGGAAACTCAAAGGAAGGAAAAAAGGAGGAAGAACGGCTACAAAATGGAGTTATTCTGCAGCAGAAGTCACAGCAGGGCTTTTAAAGAGAGGGCATTTTGAAGGGAATTCCTTCATAGAGTCACCATGAATCAGAGACAACTTGGTGGCATGTATCAACAACAATAAACACGTGCGTGCTCTTCTGAAGCTTGCAGGAATTTGTGGAGCATTCAGGGTTGCTCTCCTTCCAACAGACCCTCTATCTACCTTGTTTACTGGTTCATTTTGGATCCATGCAGATTTCCTGGGACTTCGGTTGAAGTGAACATTAGCAGAACTCTGCTTTGGAGCATTGAGCCAGTTGTTAAAAATTATAGAAGAGACTACCATAAGCAGGAGTCCAATGCTCATTACACACACCTGTGCACACTTTCAGATTTAATACCTGAACAAGAATAGAGCAAATAAAATAGTAGAATGTATACTGATGGCCATTGAACAAACACAGGCAAATAATTCTGCCTGCATGTGGGAATTCTACATGAGGTGGGGGTGAGAATTACTGACCGCTTGAACTTAATGGATCACATAAAATCAGCCCAAGTGCTCCCTTCTTAATCAGTGGCCATTTCTGAGAGAAGTTATTTTCATTCTCTCCCTGGGTTTTCTGTTATGGGACCGATATGCAAGGCCTCTGGAGAGAAAGTCTTGATACTCTGAAAATAAGAGAAGCAGATGAATCTCTTCTAAGCTGCAGTACCTTCTGATTGCCAGGGCCTATTCATCTAAAGAGAGGTGTGAGCTCTTGCTGTCCCAGGTCTGCCAAGCAAAGGTTAGTTAAGCATTCTATCTTTCAGGGATGCAGTCTTAGTGAGGGATAAGCAGGTGGGATAAGAGCAGATGGAACTGATTGTAAGAAACATAGCCTAGGCATAAACAGGAAGCATCATAATGAACGATCTGGTATCCAGGGTAGATCCCTACTCTTCCTGAACTCAGATCAAAAGAGACCTTTCAATTATTTGTTTGTTTAGATGGATGATATGAATGAGGGGGCACTTTCATTTATCAAAACAAATGTGATGCCAATTTCTTCAATTCATTGTAGAAATCAATGCATAGGCCTGAGGCTTTTACGACAGGACGGCATATAAATATCTTAAATAAATAAATAAATAGTTCAGAACAAAACTGAGTATTTAAATCTGACAAAACAGTCCTGAGATGGAATTAAATCATGCACATGTATGTCCTTATGTATTCCACTTGCAACACATATAACCATGTGTGTCTAATGTGTATACAGAGAGGCATAAAGCTGTTTTTTCAATAGACTAGTGGAAGGAAAGATACATTTACTCCAACTGATTGTTAACTCTTTTAAGAGAAAGGGGTTCCTCTTGCAAATGAACAAAGACAACAATGTAAGGTTCAATTCATATTAATGTATGGTTCCTAATCTTAGCAGCGAGGGATACAGTGGTTTGCTCAGATTTTTGGAAGGTGCTCATCCTGAAATGTGTGATTGGCATCTGCTAGTGCATGGCCTCAAGAAAGGAGGGCATGAAAGAAGCCTGAAGGGTTTTTCTATATAGAACGCAATGCAGCTTTGGTACTGCATGTTTCATCATTAGCCATACAATATCATTTACAAATATTAATTCTTTACACAGACCTGCCTTGCCCATTCTACACCAAATAAAGAAATGGAAAACCAATCTACAGTGACGGAATTCATCTTGTTGAGATTTTCTGAGGTCCAAGAGCAGTAGATTTTACTTTTTGTGATGTTCCTTTCCATTTATTTAGCATCTCTGATGGGGAACTTTCTCATTATTCTTACTGTGGCCTTTGATCCTCAGCTCCACAGTTCCATGTATTTCTTCCTGGTCAATTTGTCACTGTCTGATATGTGCTACATCTCCACCACAGTCCCCAAATCCATGGCTGCTACACTGATGAATAATAGATGGATTTCCTTTGCTGAATGCGTCGCCCAGGTTCTCCTGGTTGTCACCTTTGCAGGTGCTGAGCTCTCCTTCCTCACTGTAATGGCTTATGACCGCTATGTGGCAATCTGTTATCCCTTGCAATATTGCCTGATCATGAACTGGAACGCCTGCTTCCAAATGGCAGCTGCTTCCTGGAGGGGCACCATTATCAATGCAATGGTGCACACTGTGAGCACATTCATGCTTGAATTTTGCAGCTCAAATGTTGAGCAACTTTTTTGTGACATCCCGCAATTATGGTTGATTTCCTGCACAGATCCCAGGATCAACCAATGGCTTGTCTTTGGTAGCGTGTTTACTGCAGACTTGTTTTGCTTTTTGTATATATTAGTTTCTTATGGGTTCATCTTTTCAGCCGGACTTAAGATGCAGTCAGCTCAAGGAAGGTATAAAGTCGTCTCCACCTGCACTCCGCACTTGACTGTCTTTTCCTTGTTTCTGTCAACTGCTGAGTTTTCTTACTTCAGACCAAAAGCCTTGTCCTCTTCCTCTGTCAATATGTTGGCTGTTATCCTGTATATGGTCATGCTACCACTACTGAATCCCCTCATTTATAGCCTGAGAAACAAAGAAGTCCAGGTAGCTATGTCGAAACTTTCCAGGAAATTGCTGGGATTTGACAGTTGTACTCCATGCTCATTTTTGAAGAATAATCAATTTTCTCTTACCAGAAAACAGCTGATGTGTCTTAGATGAAGTGTGCCATCATGCATAGATATGATTCCCATATCAAATGTTTCTGAGTGGCATTATATACTGGCTCAAACGAATTCACAACTGTAATGCCTCCCCACTCTTACCTTTATTATAGGCATGCTCTAATTCAGGTAGAGGCCACAGAGGCTGATTTGTGGTCCAGTGCCTGGTGGATTTTTTTAATACCTGCCCGCCACAGACACACCATCAGAGGAGAGAATACAATAGTCGTTTCACAGAGTGAAATGTGATTCCTATGATATTGGATATTAAGGGGAAAATCTTATTTTGATAGGATTCAGTCCAGAAGATTTAGGGCACATGGAAAAACCTTACAGTTTTGGCTATGTCTCTGCCAATATGTCCTCATCTGTTTCAGCCAAGGTGCTTTCTAATCACTGAGGGCCATGTGTACAAGTGGACTCTGCTGGCTGTGCAGACATCGTCCTCCTGATTAGGAACCAGGAATATTCCAGGATTTCATTTTTCTTTGTAAATGATGTGACCATATCCCAATGAATCTAAGCTGGAGCACTTTCTTTCAAAAAATGCTCACAAATAGCTGATCACAATTAAAGGACCAACATACAAAATGCACATGCAAACACAATAAACACTGAAATTTCTTTTGAAATGTACATATTTGAGTCCATTAGTTAATGGTGTTGTGAGGTGGGGGAACTGCATGTTCCCTATATATGCATGCCAAAACCAAACGTGGAGAACCTGAAAAAATGGTCTCATGCCTTAGATCTTACTTCATATAACTAGGAGGCTTTAAAAGAGTCTTAAAGAATAGGTTGTGATGGAAAAGGATGGCATGCATCTGTTTACTTTATCATAACTTTATTGGTATATTGGTATATATTATTAGAAATTTAAACATTCCTATCTCACCATTTTGGTGCATTTTTCAAAAGTATAGATTTCCATATGTATTTTGCATATGCTATTTCAACCATCAAATCTCAGAAATACACACATTAATCAATCTGAGAATCAGCTTACAAGCTCATTTTGTGTCCTGCTACATGTGTGGTGGACAACGTGGTACAATCTGAGCAAATTGTGATCTGAACTGAACTGAACTTTTCATGTACGCCTAAATCATTCTGCTGCATGATCTGCCTTGATAGAATGTGTAACCTATTTTGATGACATTTTGATGATCTTCCACAACAATGTAAAAGGCAAAGCAAGAAAGGCTTGTTGAGGGATGAGATAATGAAGAAACAAAAACTCTGTTCCCTTTTTCAGTTTGGCTTGAAAGTGGAAAATGTCACATTTGAACACCGTAGAAAATGTTATAGCAAAAAAGTAAATTCCTAAGAAATATGGGTAAGTTCCAGTTACTAAGACCTACCCAAGGAGGCAGGACATAAGTGGTCAGCCAATATAAGTTCTTATTGACTATGTTACATGAGATGTCCATATTGCTTTTCCTCTTCTCTTCTAATTTGAATAACCATCAGCAATACGGCCCTACATTTCCATTTATTTATGTGTCTATTTCTATACCATTTGATTAGATGAGCTGTCAAAATATTGCACAGAATATACTTCACAATATCATTCACTCAAGGTGGAAGAGAAAAGAGAGTTATATTGACAATATATTTCTCATACAGTTTTATTTTCTGTATTTTCTTTTAATTTTTCCAGAAATCTCTCCCTTCAAGTAAAGGGATGGAAAACAAGTCTACACTGGCAGAATCTAAAGTGACAGAATTCCTCTTGATGGGATTTTCTGAGGTCCGAGAGAAGCAGATCTTACATTTTGTGGTGTTTCTTTCCATATACTTAACCACTCTGACTGGGAACTTTCTCATTATCCTAACTGTGGCCTCTGATTCTCAGCTCCACAGTCCCATGTATTTCTTCCTGGTCAATTTGTCACTGTCCGATATGTGCTACATCTCCACCACTGTCCCCAAATCCATGGCTGCTTCATTGACAAATAACAGATGGATTTCCTTCTCTGAATGTGTTTCCCAAGTTTTCTTCATTGTCACCTTTGCAGGTGCTGAGCTCTCTTTTCTCACTGTAATGGCCTACGACCGCTATGTGGCAATCTGTCATCCTTTGCAATATCGGCTGATCATGAACTGGAATGCCTGCTTCCAAATGGCAGCTGCTTCCTGGATTGGCAGCATTATCTATGGAACAATGCACACTGTGAGCACATTCAGGCTGGAATTTTGCAGGTCAAATATAGAGCAATTTTTTTGTGACATTCCACAGTTATGGTTGGTTTCCTGCACAGATACAGTGGTCAACCAATGGCTCGTATTTGGTAGCGTGTTTACTGTAGGCTTATTTTGCTTTTTGTATATAGTGATTTCTTACGGGTTCATTTTTTCAGCTGTACTTAAGATGCAGTCATCTCAGGGAAGGCATAGAGTCTTCTCCACCTGTACTCCACACTTGACTGTCTTCTCTTTGTTTTTTACCACTTTTGCATTTTCTTACTTGAGACCACAAGCTTTGTCCTCGCCGCTTGTCAAACTATCAGCTGCTGTCCTCTACACAGTGCTGCCACCACTACTGAATCCCCTCATTTATAGTCTGAGAAACAGGGAAATCCACAAGTCTATGTCAAAACTGTCAACCAAGTGGTTTGGATTTCATAGCACGCTATGTTGACGCACTGAGATACAGGTGACTCCTGCTGAACATTCAGACACCATCTTTGTGATTCAGATGTTCAAGTTCTCAATTCTGTTTGCTAAATCTCACAATCCCATTGGAGGTATGAATGCCCCCTTCCCAGTTTGCGAATACCTGAATTTGGAATATATTTGTTTTAGGAAAATGCAGTCTTTATGGTATACTCAATTGGGGTGGCAGGGACATATAAATGCATAGTTTTCCCATTCAGAATGAGCTTTCCTGTTCAAATGAGCCAAAAATCAGGCTGCAAACAAAAATTGGAATACTGCCTCAAAAACATAGCATTATATTTCCAATCCCTAATGGAAGATCTGTGTGATGCACCAGTAGTAGGTGATGGTATGAGTGTTGGAGAAGAGGTCCAACAGCATTTTGGGTTGATGTGACTGATCGTTCCATCAGCTTAGAAAAGGGACAGTGAATTATTTTTTGAACTGATACTATATAGTAGTCTTGAATCACAAACATAATGAAATGAAATGAAATGAAATGAAAAAATAAAATAAAATAATGAAATAAAATTTGGCTCATTGGGATTTTCCTTTTCAGGAAAGGGAAAAGTACCATATCTCTGGGTGGATTTAGCACCAAACTAAGCATTCTCTCTACTGGACATGATGGACCCATGAGTATCATTATTTTTTTCCTTTCCTTTGCATATTCATGTCTGGCTCCAATTTAGGTTGGGATCATGGCATTCTAGATAAGTGGGAACCTCTGCCCACAGCATAGACAACACATTTATTGTGAATTTTCACACACACACACACACACACACACACACACACGGGGTGAAATAAAGCAAGAAAGCAAGCAAGCTCAATTCCCTTTTTCTGTCTCTTTAACACCCAATGAGGGGACAAGTAGCATGGGAGAACTAACTTCCCTCTTGGCATTTCATGGTCCCAATGAATTAGGGCCATGAGTGCTTACACATAAGTGAAGTAGCACATGTGACTCTACTAACACATGCTAGTTTGGTCCCAAGATTCTGAACAATGAAAACAGGAAATCTTTGTATTCAAATTGCTCTTCTTCCACACATTTTGGAATTAAAAATTATTCAGTTCAACTTTTGAAATGAAATGAAATGAAGTCAGTCCATTAATTATCCACCCTTCATCTGGTTCATTAATGTTTACCATTACCAGCTGATGGTAGAATTCAGGTATGGTTATCCTACATTGGTTGAAGCGCCACAAAACCAGCAAATGTGAAGTGCTGAGGCTGATGCTTGAACAGGTGTGCCCTGTGATCAGTAATGACATTCCATGATTCCATTTGCTTGCCTTGAACTTGTTTTCCATGCACCCCGACTTTGTCTTGGTCTTTTACACTGAGTTTAAGATTAGAATTCCATGATGGGGAGGCTGAGGCCAGCAAAGGTGTCCCACATGGACCTTCTCAGCATCTGGGTCTGATCATATTGTTAGAGAAATCTTGCACCTCTTCCAAGCCATTTCTTGGGTGTGCGGGATCCTGCTGTAAAAGCAATCAATGTTCTCTGAGTTTCATTGGGAATACACTCAGCATCATATGTAAGCATGTAATTAATAAACCTCTTGGTTATAATATGCACTGTTCAGGGGTGCCAGTAAAATTTCACAATGCTGAGAAACTACAATGAGTACTGACAACACACTTCCCATGGCAGCAAATTCCATAGTTTAACTATATGCCTTGTGAAAATCATTTCACAGCCCCCTGATCATTGGTGCTGCCCTCTCTGTACTTTTTCCAACTCATGACGTCCTTTCTCAGGTAAGGCAGCCACAATTGAATACAATGTTCCAAGTGCAGTCGCACCAAAGATTTGTATATGAGAAATAAGATTTTGGCAGGGTTCTTTCTTATTCTGTTCCTAATGATGCCTAGCATGGAGTTTGCCTTCTTCACAGCAGCTGAGCACTGAGCCAACATTTTCATCGAGGTGTCCACCACTCCCCCAAATCCCTTTCCTAGTAGCTCAGTCACTACTTCAGATCCCATCAGTGGATCCTTGAAGTTGTGGTGTTTTGCTCCATAATGCATTATTCCACAATTCTTTACATTGAACTACAGTTACCATTTTGATGCCCATTCCCCAAGTTTGGAGAGATTTCTTTGGAGTTTTGAAGTTACTCTGAAGATGCAGTGCCAGAACATATCAGTTTCTCACCTCCCTTGTTTAGGCCATAACCTATGAATAGATCTTAATTCATTTCAGGTCATGTTACCCAAGTGAAAGAGAAGTTAGGAAAGGCCTCTGAAAATCTGAGTTCTAAATCACGTATAAAAATCACTTCAGCGCATGGGTGGAAATGCTGCTTGTATCTCTGTGGAAATTGGCATATATTGCCTTATTGCCAGTAGCTACCCCCATTGCCAGAAACCCATTGCCAGAAACTTTACCAAAGGCATTTTAATCCATTAGACTGGGGCAGAGGGAAGTGGGGTGTTCAAACTCTGGCAAGAGAAGGAGGCATAGTCCCCTGTAACAACTCTGGTGAGCTGGGTAGATTTGATGAAGGCTGCTAGTCTGATGATCCCCAAACAAAGGAATTCATTTATGTCAGCAACTATAGAATGGCTTGTGAAAGCTGGAATGGATTCTGGCAAAGAGTTAAGTTTCAGGAAAGAAAAGGGGGGAAATGCCCTCCCTCACCAGAATAAGCTTGATTGCTGCACAACACAGACATGTTTTTCATTTTCTTATCTTCACAAGAGCAAATCAGGTAGATGTTATTGATTATACTCTGATATTATTGATATTGTGGCATGGCACTAATATCTCAAGGCATGTGAGACAGCTGCAAGTGAAAAACAAGGACCATGCCGTCTTGGATTCCATGGCAAACTGGAGCTTGTTGGATCACATGGGAAACCTGCTCAGCAGCTAAGTTTTAATTTCTTCCGCTGAGAATTGGAAGGTTCTGGAGGGCATGTCTTTGATTGCAATCAAATATCAGAGACGGACAACACTAAGAGGCATAGCTCCAGTGCATTTCAGTGAAGAAAAGCAAACTGCAAAGGTGGGTGATCTTATGGCGTTGCTTATTTGAGAGTGGTGAATCAGCCTGCTGGCATGTTTCTAGCCACCGGAGCAAATGCTTAGCGAACAACGACCAAATGGACTGCTAGAAAAATGGAGCAGCTCTACCACAAGGTGTAATTGCATTAAAATGCAATCTCATTTTTGTAACTACAGCTGCTTGCTGTTGCTCTTTGCCGCAACAAAGAGCAATCCTGGGGTCACTGTGAACAGAATGATGTTGAGCAAAGACGATTGGTTGGATTGAGACCTAGCCATGTTTTGAGTAGAACCATGTAAATAATGTGAGTTGAGACACTCATGATGGCATTAAGGCCATTTCCATCAGTCTCCCCTACTTACAATATATGTTTTCACTGTCAAACTAAAGGAGGATGCAGTGTGTGGCATGCTTGATTGCTGCTGTCAAGTTTTCCTGTGCCTTCTTGGCTAATATTCTGCTTCTTTAACATGTCTTACAGAGAAGTTCACAGACCAGCAGAAGGTTCCATTATGGGAATAGAAGGGTACTGGCTGTGAATAAAATTGTTAGAGAACTACTCACTGGGTTGTGCCTAACTTTTTAATATGTGAATATGCCTCTCTTATGTAAAATTAGTGATGCTCTTTCAGGTTCAGAATTCACAATCCCATCCCCCTTTCCGTTTCTGCTGTGGTTCTTTGCCTCTAGCTTTTCTACTTTGATTAATCCAGAAGACCATGAAAAGAAATGAAGAATTGCTTTAATCCCCATACAAGAAGGCTTATCTGATTAAATTTGTTATTCTGTCATGTTGTTAAAGACAATGAGGATGAGGTTGAGGATGATATATTTCATTTCTATACCCGCCCAATAGTCAAAGCCCCTTGGGTTTGTTCTATGCCACTGTGTATAGAACAATAAAATACAATACAATTATCATAAAAGCAAACGGAGGGTAAACTGACTTTGAAATAGCTAAAAACATACATTAAAAATTATCCTGAAAAGGAAAAGAATCACATGGAAATCCCCTCAGGCCCTGCACCTAAGTAGGACTTCAAAGGGCTTTTTGGCACTAGCCTTCAAAGGGCTGGTGCAGAAAAGGTGACAAGTTTGGAGCCAGGTGGTCTGCAGGGGGAGGTTGTTCAAAGATGTGGGGCCACTGTAGAGAAATTCCTCTGCATTGAGGGGGCCCTCCAAGCCTTCCTCAGAGTTGGCTCTTGGAAGAAGGCTCCAGAGGTTGAGCTGAGTGTCCAGGCACCATGCTGTGTGTCAGGAAGTGTGTGATAGTATGCACATTTCTACAAGAGAAACACATTCCTCAGTTTGCATTCGCAACCCTGTCATTCAAAATTTAGGGACCCCCCCCATCTTATTTGCAAGAAAATGAATAGAATTGTATATCAGCAGGAAAGAAGGGAATGTATCCTTTTTGGGGTAAAAAGATCCTGAAAGAGAAAAAATATTTAATCATATTATACAGATACGGAGTCTACAACACTCTGCATCCTTAGTGTCTGCATGGAAGTTCATCTGTCTCTGCCATTCCTATATGAGAGGGAGCCTCACCTGGTCCAGAAACCTACAAAACTGGAGAATTCTGCTCCTTGCTCTGCAAAGAGGTGCCAAGGAAGGCTGTCCATGTTGCCATCCGTTTGCAGGGCAGCTCTGTGACCTTTTAAATGGCAAGGTTGTACAGTAACATGCAATTAAATCCCCAAACAGAAAGGGCTTCTTTCAATATTTTATGGGTGGCAGGCTTCTACCTTCCATCCATTCTAGTTGGATATAACCCTCTGCAATGTGACCTAACATTTTTACCCAGGGCATTAGGAAGAGAAGAAGGGAGTGTTATTTTGGTAATATCTTCTTCATAATGCTGTATCTTCTTTGCTGTGTTGCATGTCATTGCCTTTGTCTGTCTCTCTGTCTGTCAGTTTTAAAACAAATATTAACTCCAACCCCATTAACTCCAACTACAGAAATGGAAAACCAGTCCAAACTGGAAGGTTCTGCATTGACGGAATTCCTTTTGCTGGGATTTTCTGAGGTCCAAGAGCAGCAGATCTTACATTTTGTGGTGTTCCTTTCCATTTACTTAGCCACTCTGACTGGGAACTTTCTCATTATCCTAACTGTGGCCTCTGATCCTCAGCTCCACAGTCCCAAGTATTTCTTCCTGATCAATTTGTCACCGTCTGATATGTGCTACATCTCCACCACTGTCCCCAAATCTATGGCTGCTTCATTGACAAGTAACAGACAAATTTTCTTCACTGAATGCATTGCCCAAGTTTTCTTGGTGATCACGCTTGCAGGTGCTGAGCTCTCTTTTCTCACTGTAATGGCCTACGACCGCTATGTGGCAATCTGCCATCCTTTGCAATATCGGCTGATCATGAACTGGAGCACCTGCTTCCAAATGGCAGCTGCTTCCTGGATTGGCAGCATTATCAATGCCACAGTGCACACTGTGAGCACATTCAGGCTGGAATTTTGCAGCTCAAGTCTCAACCAATTTTTTTGTGACATCCCACAATTGTGGATGGTTTCCTGTACTGATACAGCAGTCAATGAATTGATCACTTTGGTGGAAACTTTTTTTGTATGTTCATCTTGCCTTCTGTTTATATTGGTTTCTTATGGATTCATCTTTTCAGCCGTATTTAAGATCCAATCAGAAAAAGGAAGGCATAAAGTCTTCTCCACCTGTGCACCTCACTTGACTGTCCTGTCCTTGTTTCTGTCAACTGCTGTGTTTTCTTACTGCAGACCAAAAGCCTTGTCCTCTCCCTCTGTCAATATGTTAGCTGCCATCCTATATACGGTCATGCCACCGCTGCTGAACCCCCTCATTTATAGCCTGAGAAACCAAGACATCTGCAGAAGCATGTCAAAGATATGTAAGAAGCTGTTGGGATTTCACAATGCCATTCCATGCCCCTTTCTCAAGAATATTAAAGTTTCATTGCAGAGAAATCAGTTTATAGATATGAAGAAAGGTTGAAGTGCTGCTTTATTTATTTATTTTATTTATTTATTTTGAGACTTCTATGCCGCCCCATTTGCCAAAGCCTTGGGGCAGCTCACAAACATAAATAAATTTCAATAGAAAAATATAAAATTAACAATATAAATTAAGTCACCCTGGCCAAAGAATAAAATGAATAAATAATATTATCAATTAAAATAGCATTTGAATAAAAGGTCTTCGCCTGGCACTGAAAAACAAATAACGACAGCGCCAGGCGGACCTCTCTGGGGAGCGCATTCCATGGATTGGGAGCCACCGCAGAGAAAGCCCTCCTCCGACTACTCACCCTCCTAATTTCCTTCACAGAGGGCTCCCGGACAAGGGCCTTTCCCGCAGATCTCAAGGGGCAGGTGGGCATATATGGACGTAAGCACTCCTTCAGGTAACCAGGACCCAAGCTGTTAAGGGCTTTATAGGTCATCACCAACACCTCGAATTGTGCCCGGACTTCAATGGGAAGCCAGTGAAGCTGACGGAGAACTGGAGGCAGGTGAACATAATGCCCAGTCCCCGTCAGCAGCCTGGCAGCTCTATTTTGAACCAATTGAAGTATCCGGACCATCTTCAAGGGTAGCCCCACATGGAGCGCTTTGCAGAAGTCAAGTCAGGAAGTCACCAATGGGTGTGTCACTGTCGCTAGGCAGTCGTTCTCCAGGTAGGGGCGCAGCTGATGGATCAGCCAAAGCTGAAAGAAAGAGCTCCTTGCCACTGTTGTCACCAGAGCTCTGGGTCGAGGAGCACTCCCAAGCTGCGAACCTTGTCCCTAAGAGGGAGTGTAACCCCATTCAGGACTAGGTTCAATTCACCCTCCCCAAAGCCCGATCCACCAACCAACAGGGCCTCCGTCTTGTCTGGGTTGAGTTTCAGTTTATTGGCCCTCATCCAGCCCATTACCTCAGCCAGGAACTGGTTCAGCACAGCCACTGCCTCACCTGGATTGGTGGAAAACGAGAGGTAGAGCTGGGTATCATCAGCGTACTGATGATTCCACAGCCCACACCTTCTGATGACCTCTCCTAGCTGTTTCATGTAGACATTAAACAGCAAAAGGGACACAATGGATCCCTGTGGTACTCCATGGCATAGCTGCCATGGTGCAGAGCCATAGTCCCCCAGCACCACCTTCTGGAATCAGCCGTTGAGATAGGAGCGGAACCACTGCAAAGCAGTGTCTCCGACCCCCAATCCCCCTAGCCTATCCAGAAGGATACCATGGTCGATGGTATCAAAAGCCACTGAGAGGTCCAGAAGAACCAACAGGGACGCACTCCCCCTGTCCTTCTCCCTGCACAGGTCATCGTACAGGGCGACCAAGGCAGATTCAGTACCATACCCGGGTCTGAAGCCGGACTGAAATGGGTCCAGATAATCAGTTTCATCCAAGAGTGCTTGGAGTTGTTCCGCCACCACCCTCTCCAACACCTTGCCCAGAAACGGGATGTTGGCCACTGGTCTATAATTAGTGGCCATCTCTGGATCCAGTGACGCTTTCTTCAGGACTGGTTGGACTACCGCCTCCTTTAAAGGGGCAGGTACCTGACCCTCCCTCAGAGACGTATTAACTACTTCCAAGATCCAGATCCCAATCCCGTGCTTGGCGTTGTTCATTAACCAAGATGGCAAGGGTCCAATAGGCAAGTGGTGGGACGTACTCGTCCAAGCACCTTGTCCACATCATCAGGCCACAATAACTGAAATTCATCCATTAATTTGGGACCAGACGGCAACATTGGTATTGCTTGCTTGCTTGCTAGTTGCAAAGTCGTGTTTGACACATCGCGACCCCATGAACAACACTCCTCCAGGCCTTCCTGTCCTCCACCATCCCCCGGAGTCCACTTAAGCTCACACCAACTGTTTCAGTGACTCCATCTATCCACCTCATCCTCTGCGGTTCCCTTCTTTTGCTGTCAACTGTTCCCAGCATTAGGATCTTCTCCACTGAGTCCTTCCTTCTCTTTAGGTGGCCAAAGTATTTGAGTTTCATCTTCAGTATATGGCCTTCTAAAGAGCAGCCTGGGTTGATCGCCTCTAGGACTGACCAGTTTCATCTCCTTGCAGTCCAAGGGACTCGCAGGAGCTTTCTCCAGCACCACAATTCAAAAGCCTCAATTCTTCAGCATTCAGCCTTCATCATAGTCCGGCTTTGACAGCCATAGATTGCAACTGGGAAAACCATAGCCTTGACTATACACACTTTTTTGGCAGGGTGATCGGGAAGCAATACATTTTCTTTTCCCTATATTTGTGCAGCATGTGGAAACTGGGTCTGAAGAAGCAATCATTATAATGCCTTTCTGCACTTTCGGGTTGTACTCTTGTGCCTTATACAAAGGAGAACCACATTCTGAGGCTGTGGTCTGATCCCCTTTTTGTCAAAGGGAAGAATACTATCATTGCAAGTTACAACAAAGGAATGTTCCCTGTGCATTCAGAGAATAGACCTACCGTGGCATTATTCCATCTGGTAGATGGAGGAGACATATTGAAAGGGTCGGAATCTGACCAAGCTGCTCTCAACACGTCTCCAGATGTTCCAGTCACCCTGCTGTCTATCTACTGAGGACTTGTGTGCTGTAGGTACATTACTGAATATTCCAAATGTATGGTTATGAAGTATAGATGTTCAAGGAGTGTTTGACTCGTCTTGTCTTGTCTCATCTTATATATTTGAGTCCATTAGTTAATGGTGTTGTGAGGTGGGGGAACTGCACGTTCCCTATATATGCATGCCAAAACCAAACGTGGAGAACCTGAAAAAATGGTCTCATGCCTTAGATCTTACTTCATATAACTAGGAGGCTTTAAAAGAGTCTTAAAGAATAGGTTGTGATGGAAAAGGATCAGTTGATGGAACTCTTGAGTTTCACTAGCAGAAATGCCCTTCGGAACACAGAGAGAAATAACCATGGATGGAACTCGCAGAAGATGGGTGTCCATATAAAGAAAGCAATGTCACAGCTTCTACCAGAAACATCTGGATAGATGTCCATGGATATGGTTGTTCAGTAAACACATGGAAGCACTATGCTGTTAAAACAAACAAACAAACAAACAAACAAACAAATGTTGCAATGCTCCTCCACTTTCCTGAGTAGTAAAAGTGCCCTGATGAGAGGAATCCAGGCCCCAGCATGTGAGGAAGCCCCAGCTCACAGAACCCCTGTTTGTTTTTCTTGTGCCCTCCTCAATAATATCAAACATACTGGACTTCTTCAGAATATGCAACATCCTCCAAGATTTCACAGGCAGCAGATCTCTCAGATTTCTTTTGCTTTGGAGAAAACTAGTCACCCCTCATAAATCAGTTTGGCTTCAGAAGATACACCAACCAATCACACCCAGCTACAATTGACTCATAGGCAATGTTCAACACCTGAGGGTTCCATCCAAGCTCCATCTTTGAGTGAGACTCAGGGAATAGCTACAATGTGGATTGCCTTCCGCATGGTGGCTCTCTGATTGTGCACTATGCTCTCCCTATTTATGTTTGTAGACATTTTTAATCAATAAATGCACTGTCTGGCTTTCTGAAGTGTGTGGGCTGATTGGTTAAGGTTGCTTTTCTTGCTATTGGTGACATATCAGCAATGTTTAATGGTCCACTTGGGTTGAATCCAGGGTTCTAAGGAACTTGTGTTCATGTGAACAAGACCAAAACTCATATTCAGATATCCCTGTGTTGAGCTTAGACAAAGTGAGAGGTTGTGGAATGAGAGTGCACTCTTCAGGATTGTCCAAAGAAGGTTAGCAGCAAATAATGAAAATTATAATGCTGGCTTGTATAAAAAGATGATTAGAAGATCATCTTTGGCCAGTTCATCCTAGCAGCAGGGTATCTGAAAGAATGCCTTTCTCCATATGTTCCTAAACAGTCCTTAAGATCGTCTATGGAGGTCCATCTCCAAGAACCACCCACCAACTAAGGTTGGGGGATGATAGTCAGGGGAAGGGCCTTCTCTGTGGTTGCACCCCATCTCAGCAACATGCTATCCAAGAAGGCACACCTGACACCATCTTTGTTTTCTTTCAAGCAGCAGGTGAAGACCTTTTTGTTTTCCTGATGCTTTAAAGAGGAGGTTGATTTTAATGCTGCTTTTATACCATGTATTGATTTTCTTAATCCCTAGTAGTTGTCAAGTTGCTGTATCTCTTTTTAATTGGATTGATTGCTTTGTACTGCTTTTATTGTTATATGTTTTTCATCTTTAAAACCCCAAGAGAGCCCTATGGGCTATGAGGCTGTATACAAATGTAATAGATAAAGAAACTTGAATTACCCATATTGTTCATGCATTCACTTGTTGAAGTTTCAAAGAAATATTTTGCAGTGAAGTCCTTCTGTTCCTCCTTGCGGTTTTTCATTGTTGGGACTGGCATGCAAGGTCTCACAGGAGCAAATCCCTTGTACATCAGAAAGGACACAAATAGGTGCATCAGCACCTCTCTGAAGCTAGAAAAAGATCACCTGAAGCCACAGAAGTCTTCAGTTCTGTTTCAACCCTGTACTTTGAAGATGGCCAAGTGAGGGTAATTTATTTCATTTTTCAATGAAACTGCAATAGACTTCATGAAAGACAAATGAAGGTAAGACAACAGGCTGAATCTGGCTTGGAATGAATGCATATTTAAAAAACAAAAACAGAACAGAAAACATACTGAAGAATGACATTTCTAGAAGCGATGCCTGTTTTGTTAAGCCATTTCTGATGTTCTTGTGGGGATGCTGGGAATGAGAAGACACTTCTTTTCATCAAAGGACTTGCATGGTCAATTTAATTCATCTCTTATAGAGATCCATTCATAGAACAAAACCAACTGTTCTTTTATGATCTGTCTTAAAAGCATCTATGAGAATAAATATGTTCTAGTTGTCCTTGTTGCATGTACACATTTCAACACATTTTAACATGTGCCCATAGTAATAGAGAGGTGTGTAGTATTAATGTGCTATTTTTACACTGACTTTCCAT